CAATACCATTATAACAAAAAAAAACAAGAAATCAATACCAATCCTTTAAACAACCACTACCACTTCGAAAAATACTACCATTGCACAAAATACCAATACCATTCAAGAAATAAAAACACTACCATTTCATAAAACACCAATACCATTGCAGATTTTATCAAAATCAAAACATGCAAATTAATATTATTACATAATAATCAATACCAATCCATTATGAAAATCAAACAATACCATTGTAGAAATAAATTAATACCATTATGAAAAACAAAACTATACCATTTCATAAAACGAAACAAAAAACTAGTACCAAAACAATAAAAATTTATATCAGAGCCTCTCTTGTGCTCCTAGAGAGAGAGAGAGAGAGAGAGAGAGAGAGAGAGAGGAGATCATGAGAGGGAGAGGAGGGCGGTGGAGGGAAGGTGGGGTGTGGTAGAGTGTGACGGGTGATAGTAGGGAGGGAGGGAAGGAGGGCGGCGGATGAAAGGCGGGGTGGTGCGGCGGGAGGTAGCGGGTGGTGTGAGGCGGAGGAAGTTGAGGAGAGAAGAGGGACGGCGGAGAGGGAGATGAGTTGCGGTGGGATTAGGATTTGGGTATAATATATAGAATAATCAGGTGTAATATTTTTTTTTATTTTTAAAATTATCCTTAATTTAATTTTTATGGTCAATTTAAAATTAGGGTGAAATAGAGATAATAAACGGTGTAGATTTTTAGTAGCTATCGTGATTAATCAATTTTGAGTAATCACCATAACGCATTCCCCACATAAAGAGCTAATTTGAACCGTGATAATTGAAAAGGGGTTAAGATGTTATTGATTATTTATTTATTAATTAAACTCGGCACAAACTATACGAGTAATTGTCACTAAATAATACAATCAATCATGCTACGACTTGGAATTTCATTGGCGGCACTCTTCCTTTTTCTCCGTATTGTAATTAAGGTTTGACGATCCCTAGGAGATAAGTAAGGTACACTGTATGTAATGTAATTGTAATGTAATTGTAACTAGCTTATTACCCGGCCCGTTGGCCGGATTACTGTATGTTATCCACTTGTGGACTGAGAGAGAAAGCAAGTGAGAGTAAGGGATTGAGATTCCACTTGATTAGGACCGACCCACTAATCCGATTCTTCCCGACCCGCCCCAACCTAAAGGGCCAGAAAGAGTCAATAAGAAAATACAAAACGGAGAGAATTAGTCATATATCTTGACTCTTCAGAAGTGGGTCAAACAGGATCAAGGTTGGGTGAGGGAAATTTTTAGCGCTAAGCAGAGTTCTGGGTTGAATAACTTTACTTAGGCCTAGAAATTGGTGCTGATGCAGACTGCAGTTTTTATTATACCATCATCAATCATCATTGAATTAGTCTTGGGCATCCATCCCCGTTGTCGGTCTGAATTCTTATGATGGCTTCATTCCTTGCACCAGCCATATTAGCGAGTTGTCATATCGAGCATGATTTTCCTATGTACAAATGATACAATTAGAGTATGAAACTGAATTCAAAGAAAAGGAAAAGAGAATTTTATCACATGCCAATAAATAAACACATAATAGTTGAAGCTAAGTGAAAGTCATTACTCGCACATCAATTCTCAAAAATTACAGACTAAACAATGGCTAGAATGGCACTGAAACTACCAAGAATCATGGACGAAACAACTTGTCAAATTAAATAATCCTTATACTGAAACTACCTTCTAACTTGAAATAAGACATGATCACAGTTCATAGCACTCTTATCACTATGAATTGGTTGTAGCTCGTCCTTATCACTGCCTCCCAAGCTCAATTCAAACAGAATAGAGACCGTTATGTAAGATAACCATATCCTTACTAATCATAATTCCTTTATTCACTCCATTTTTGTCGGAGAAAAGATTTATCCCCCTCTCCTGCATTTCCCTTTCCCCCTCTCTTCTCCCTCTTCTTCACAAACCGATCCCTAAACCAGCAACAACAACACAAAAATAGCCTTCGCCTCTGCCATCTCCATCTACTGAACGCGTTGGTGGAAGACAGGACTGCAGATGCAAAATTTTCTAAAATCAAACTAAATTTTTTGAAGGAGACTCAACCACAAAAAAAAAAGAGTAAAGCAACAATGCTAATAGTTCAGATGGTTGGTTTTGATGTTATACGTTGCTTTTGTTATGGTCTCCAGCATATCAACTGCAACAGAGATGTTTCCTCCAATCATCTTTAGTGCACGATTTAGAAGTAAGTCCTCTTGTTTGTGTCAAACGGAAACATTCATGGGTTCTTAACTCCCCTGTTAGTGTAAATGCAGCAGCAGCAAAGAAGTTTGACAACATAGCAAGCACCTAGGCAAAATGATACAATGCAGTAGGTGATATGTGTCTCGAAGGTTTTGAGTTACTAAAGTTCATGTTAAAAATAAACATGAATTAAAATGAATTATTCTATTAAGCAATCATCCCCTCTAATCATACAAAGATCAGATATCCAATTCACAAACAATTAAGCCATAAAAATATCACACATCCACCACCTTTGATTGCCTAAATTTGGTTTTTCGCAAAGTTATGGACTCTTAAGGGTAACGTTCATGGGTAGTCTGTTTTATAACTCTAGAGAGCACAGTAAGCAGCCACCAGCCAGACACAGTGCGGTAGGCGAATATGATTCTCAATTCACAATTTCTCACCACCGGAAGTAAGAACAGACCATAATAAGCGTAGCGTTCATGGGTGGTCTGTTTCATAACACTACTACACAATTTGTTAAAAAAGAAAGAAAGGTATTTAGCATCACGGCGGAACAACTTTTACAGGCCAACAACGACAACATGCTGCAACCACCAGAACTGGTATCACAACTCATAGGGAAAATTAAAAGATTTACTCTCAAATTAAGTAGTTACAACATCGAGCAATCGTCAAGCACATACACCATCACAAAAGTCAGGAAACCTGATTCACAAAGCATTCAAACATTTGAGGACATTTCTGCAAAGGTACAACTTATATGTCTTTTTTCCAAGCCATTTCCATCAACATGCTAATAAATTTGCAAAATACCATTGAATACACTATAATTTGATCATTATGATGTCAAATAATTATAAAATATATATTTGAAATGATAAAAATTAGACTAATTGGGTTGGTCGAGGTTGAACCATTGAATAACTTTAAAATACATTATATTTTAGCCACTAAGATATAAAATAATAGCATAATATATATTATGCCAGAGAAAATAGCTTGTTTTAGAATGACAAACCAATGATGTTCATTTGTTTTACTTGATGGCCAAATCCCATGTAGGTCAGGCCCATTCGACTCTTTTATTTTATGGTTAGCGGTTAGCCCATTAGATACCATGCATTAATTTATTGATAAATTTTTTTATTTTTAACAATAACATGGAGTATTATTTTTGCCTTTTCATATATATTTTATCACCACGGAGAAATAAAAGGGTATAAAGAAAAAAATTGACACTCCTGGACCCGTTTAAATCTGCATGTGTACGGTAAGTTGGCCCGTTTCACAGAGGAAAGAGAAAAAAATTGACACTCCCTATTCTACCCTTTCTATAAACGCTCCTGAAGTAGGGAATTTGAAATGGGGGAAGAGTTTTTTCCACCCTGTTATTATATGTTTTTAATTTAAAATGGCACAACAAATGTATTTAGTGTGATTGGTTATGATCCTTGCCTTTCTTTAAAATGGTCATGGTTCAAATCCTAGTATGTATTTTTTTAATGAATAAAAAAAAAGTAATTGTGAAGACCAAAATGTCCTTCCTACTTTCACTCTCGTTGCAGGAAATTTGAAATGAAGCTCCCGTTTTTCCCTTCGGTGTATTATATTATGTATAGATAGATGTAATTTAGGGTGATGAATGCTCACCCTAACGCATTCCTCACATAAAGAGCTAATTTGAACCGTGATAATTGAAAAGGGGTTAAGATGTCATTTATTATTTATTTATTAAACTCGGCACAAACTATACGAGTAATTGTCACTAAATAATACAATCAATCATGCTACGACTTGGAATTTCATTGGCGGCACTCTTCCTTTTTCTCCGTATTGTAATTAAGGTTTGACGATCCCTAGGAGATAAGTAAGGTACACTGTATGTAATGTTAATGTAATTTAGCTGATAATTAGAATAAAATACGCAGTACATGCCGACCTCCACAAAATCTGCTCACTTTTGCCCTTTTCGCTCCTTTCCCTATGCATGGCCTCTCTTCTAGTAAATTACAGATTTATCCTCTCCAGAGGCTAGATTCTTTCATCTCTCCCCAGCTGATATTTGTTGCAACTTGCCACATAACTTGACCGATTGATTATTTTGCTTAGCTAAATGGTATGTAGGTTATCACCCGGCCCCTTGAGTTGAAGGCTCTGTCCCATCCCACCACAATAATTCAACAAGCATTCAGTGGAACCTTATCATTTGGGATTTGTTTCATTTCATTTGACGTAATTAATGTAATAACAAACTTATGCACGCATCATAGAAAAATTAAGGAGAAATCAGAAAGGGAAGAGTTGGAGGAGATGATGGTCATTTTACCTCCTCCAACACCACTTCCATCGATCCGAAGAGATGACAAAAACAACCCAAATGCTAATCAACCTCAAATCTCCATCTCTTCTCCTTCCCCCGGCCCTCCCTCTCGTCCAACCAGCCATTGCCACGTTACCCACACCATTAAACCCACGCTTCACCCGCTTCCCTCAATGCGCCATTCATGAAAGGAGAAGAACACTGATTAGCTAGCTGCTCTCGTCGGCCATCTTTCTTCTCCCTGACGGCTCGCAACCGCCCACGTTTTTATGCCCCCTCTCTGCCTCCTTATATTGCAGTTCATCCCTCCCTCTCTTTCTGTCTGTTTCCATCTCTCCCAAAACCCACATACAATACTCCAATCGACACTACTCACTCCGTTTCAGCTTTTGATCTTCAAATTTCTGTCGCTGGGTGAAATCCATAATCTTTCTAAAAATGATGGCTGCCTCTGCTTCCGGCGAGCAATTCATGTCGCCGGTGGACAGGAACTGGAAGCCGCACCTCGAAATCGCGCCGGACTGCCCGCGCTGTGCTTCTCCCAACACCAAATTCTGCTACTACAACAACTACAGCCTCTCCCAGCCCCGCTACTTCTGCAAAGGATGCCGCCGCTACTGGACCAAAGGCGGATCCCTCCGCAACGTCCCCGTCGGCGGCGGATGCCGCAAGACCCGCCGCTCCTCCAAGTCCTCCCGCTCCGCCGCCTCCCGCGCTCCTCCTCCCCCGCCGCTGGAAAACAATCACGGCGGCGGCGACTCGTCTTCCTCATCGACCTCGAATATTGACATGGCAGTCGTTTTCGCCAACTTCTTGAACCCTGATTTGGTGCCCAAGGTGGAGGCCGGGAGTTTGACTGATCACTGCGGGGTGTCGAATTCCAATTCAAATTCGCAATCGAATTCGATTTCTTCTACTCCGGAGAGCGGCGATCAGGATGGGATTCTGTTCCCGCCGGCTGCGGCAGGGGGATCGTACGAGTTCTTCGACCTTTTCCGAGAAGACGGGTTTATGGAGACGGCGGAAATCGGCGGCGGAGCGGAGCAGAACCAGGAGAGCATGTTGAATGCACTTGGGTTGCAGTCATTGTTGGGCGACGAGATGGCGCAGCTGGAGGCGTCACTCTGGTCGACGATGGCGGCGGGGAACGATCCCGCCCGCGACGCGGCGGCGGCATGGGAGCCGGCGCAGGAGCAGCAGGGGTTTGAAGAAGCAGGGGATTTCGGGGTTGCCAACAATTGGGGCTGTTACGATCTGCAGCAGCTCCAGGGTAATTTCGACATTTCTCTTCAGTCCTTGGCTAAGCCTCCACCAAATTACTAGTATAAGATCTGATTTTTTTTCCCTTCCCTTTTTCACCTTTTTTTTACACATATTTCTTCTTTGAGTTAAAAGCAGTTACTGCAAAGTTTTACAGCTTAGGATTTGTCTCACACGAAATGGAAATATATTGGAACTTAGTTAATTAATCCATTTGCCACAACATAATTATTTACAATAATAAAAGGGTTGCCCTTATTATACTATACTGTGGTCTGTGGCGGAATTGGCCAAACACTGCCATTGTTTCGAGTCTTGTTCCCTGTTTGTTTTCTCAATTTAAGTAGAGTTTCTACATTAGAGATGTTAGCTAGTTCGATCTGTTGGAACGTCTTAGAGCTTGTCTGTACGTCTAATTTAGGGCTTGTTAACTGTTCCTAAGAAATTAATCAGAAGATACAGAGATATGCTTGGTGTGGCTTGTCAGCTGTCAAGGCTCATATAAGGAGAATGCAAGAAAATGACTACTCATCCAATTACCATTTTGGTTATACGAATTAATATGTAGATGTTTACTTTCTTATATGTTAAATATGTCCTAATTAATTATTATGATTGATCGATACTCCGAACTACGAGATCTTAACGACATCTAACATAAGTCATTAGGTCAAATTCGAGTGTATATCAAGAACCTAAAAACTTATAAGTGACACTTGACAATATTTTTTTTCTTTTTTACGGGAGTGACACTTGACAATGTTGGTGGGCTACATAGTTTTATACAGATTTTACCCCGTGTACATCCTAGGCAAAGTGGATTAACTAGAGAGCCGCTGCAAATCTTATCTGTAGTTAGTACTGTTTCTTGGACCCCATTTTCCATACTAATTTGAGATCGTACAAGGTACTAATAACTAATAAATTTGGCTCTGTCACATCTTCGTCATTGGTAAAAACAAACTTTCATATTCATAAGTTACTGTGCACTTAATGAAATTTTAATCGGCAGAGAAACAAACAGAGTATCTTGAAATTGTACCTATCAGATTAATTATGAAGTAAGTGCATGTTCGATATGATCAAATTGGTATAATTTTTTTTTGGTCATACTAATACTACTACTCATACCTGTTATTAAGCTTCTAGCTTTGTTGGATGAGTTTTTTTCTATGTATATGATCTTTCCATAATCCCATAAATGTGTGATTTCAAAAACCCAACCCTAAATCATTTTCCTAGGCAGCTAGCTTGTTCATTACTCTTAAAACTTGACTTACTGCAGTAATTTTATATGAGCAAAAAGAATAAAAAGAGGAATTCTTGAAACCATCATATCAATATATAGAGACTAAACAGGAGAAGTAGTTGGCCTTCTTCAATATTGGAACTGTATATTAGGCGGTACCTTAATTGGTGACAGTGATATACACATAATGTGAGACTCCTATATCCATTAATATGTATTCAACAACTGTATAGCATCGGCTTAATTTCTCGGTCGCCATTTTGTTGGTAGCTAGCTGCAGCTGTCGTTTGATTGTGATTGCACAGTACTACATGCAATACCTCGCATGCAGCTGTCGACTTGTCGCTATATGTAATATTAATCTTTGTTGTATCTTCTCAAACTATACTTTGCTTGTGAAAACATATTACAACGACGGAGAGACCTGAAACACAAGAGATCCTTCTGCCTTCCATAAGCATATATATGCACATGATTCCACAAACGGTTGCGAAGAAGAGGGCAACGAAACATGCATGGAAACCCAGAAGTGGTCAAACCAAGAATTAGTGCGCCTACTGTTTAGCAAGTCCATGTTCACTAATTCAACAAAGAAATGGGATTATTGGAAGACATTAAATCTGCTAACTAGCACTGTAATAAAGGTAAAACTGGGCGAAATCCAGCTCTAACTCTAGAACTAACCTAAAATACCTAGTTCTATAGGGTCAAGCTACAACTTGCCCCACCCGGTCATGGCCCTATTTTCTCTTGATCATGGCTGACTCATTTTGGTCGGGCCGAGCCAAGTTTGCAGGTCGGCCCACATGAACAAATTGATATTTGAAAAATTATATTTTGATACTCAAATTTATTTTCATTAAAATTTAGTACCTAGATGTTATTTTTTTAGAAATAAATAGGACCATAAATTTTGGTAGCAAAATTTTGTTTTAGTACCTTCAATTTTTTTGAATTGCATTCTAGTACCTAAATTTTTAAAACTTTACAAACAAGTCCAATTTTTGGTATGAGAAATTTCAAATCTTTAGTTGTTATTATGAGTTATACGGTCAAAAGTGAACCTACTCTCAATTGACCTGGTTCTACCCAGTTTTTACCGGGCAAAAAGAGGACCCCGACCCTATAAACAAATGACCTAGTTTGATTAGAGCCATATCAGTGGATATTTAGGGCCAGACTTACACCCCTACCTAGCTGTACAAATGGTGTTCAAAGAAAACAGGTTTCTATCCTATCAAGCAAGAATAGACTGTTTAGTCGGAACTACACTAGAGCTAGCAGCCACCCCCTCCCTTTAACAATTAGGGTGATCAGAAACCAAATAAACAGTCCAGTCACACATCCTTTTCAACGACTTTCATCTTACTAATTAAAGGTATAAGAGGTTACTGTTGCATAAGAGAAGAGTTAGAGTAATATGTGGGTTTCAAAATTGGAAATGACAGGCCACTTATTGATGAACGTGTGGCTATTTTATAATTTTCTTTTATCTTAGTGTTCCCATTCTCTTTAATTTTGTAGTTGCTTTTAATTTAATTAATCTAACTTTCTTTTCCATTTACTCCTGCAAGAAGTGAGAACTAGGGGTGGGCAACAGAACGGGGTGAGATACCCGCCCCGTTTGAAATGGGTATCCAATTCCTTTGGAAAGCAATCTATATTCCATATCCCAAACCCGTACGAGTTAACGGGCACCTATTACCCGTACGGGACGGATAACGGGTACCTACACTACCCATAAATAACCGTCCAATTGGTGGAACAAAATTAAAATAACAATCATCATCTTACTAATTAAAGGTATAAGAGGTTACTGTTGCATAAGAGAAGAGTTAGAGTGATCTGTGGGTTTCAAAATTGGAAATGACAGCCCACTTATTGATGAACGTGTGGCTATTTTATAATTTTCTTTTATCTTAGTGTTCCCGTTCTCTTTAATATTGTAGTTGCTTTTAATTTAATTAATCTAACTTTCTTTTCCATTTACTCCTGCGAGAAGTGAGAACTGTGGGTGGGCAACAGAACGGGGTGAGATACCCGCCCCGTTTGAAATGGGTATCCAATCCCTTTCGAAAGCAATCTACATTCCATATCCCAAACCCGTACGAGTTAACGGGCACCTATTACTCTTACAGGACGGATAATGGATACCTACACTAACCATAAATAACCGTCCAATTGGTGGAACAAAATTAAAACAACAATCAAACATGAAATTTTATTGTATTTCTCGGAACGCCTTCGCACACCCTAGCCAAATCGGAAGTTTTATCCTACCAATCATCATCATCCAAGTCTCCTTCACATAAACTCAAATCCATGAAAATACTGACTGATCTCATAATTGAAGTTCATGCCCTTCAAAACCATGAAAAGAACAACTACCATTAAAATACTGACTGATCTCATAATTGAAGAGGTTATAAGTGAAAGGAAAATATAATTTGAAATTCATGGTGGTTGATTATTGCATTATGAATATACAAGCCGTATGGGCTCCAGAAGTTAGAAAATGTGAGATGGTGTCCCACTCCAACCAAACTAAACATTCATCAAGATTAGCACACTGAACCTTACTTACCTGGAGATGGAGTTCAGTAAAGTGCTTATAGTAGGTTAGAAAATGTGAGATGGTGTCCCACTCCAACCAAACTAAACATTCATCAAGATTAGTACACTGAACCTTACTTACCACAAAATATCAATATTGGAGGCTAAATCGATAGGTGGTATTTAACGGTACAACGGTTGAACTAGGATTAAACCATGATTTTATCATAAAATATCCTACCGCTGACTTTTCCGATACGGTTTCATGGACCATGGAGTAAATGGGGTTGAGTTTTTTGATTAACGGGTATAACGTGTATTAAAGTATTAACGGGTAACCCGCGAGTATCCAAAATAGCGATTTTTTATCTCAAATTCCATCCCGTAAAAAACATTACGGGTATTTGAGTACACGTAACCCTCAAAAAAAGGGACGTGTACGTGTATACTCAAATACCCGTTTCCCGTTGCCCACCCCTAACGAGAACCTTCAATGATCCCATACTACTTTTTAATTTTTAATTGTTTTTCCACTTCCTCTATTTCTCGGCGACATGCAAGGCAATTTGTGGTTATTTTGGCTTTTAATTTGTCTGCTCTATTATTTTGTTTCTGGAGGAGTGAGACCTAATTCAGATCCAATAACAACGAGGCTGCAAAATCAAAAACTGAAAACTTAAAAGCTTTTCAGATCTAGGAGATCGGAAATAAGAAAAGGAAAAACCATACACCTCTTCCTATTTGTTATACTTTTTCAATCTGCCTATATTTGAAAAAGAGAAAAATAACTGCACTCATCATCATTTGAAGCGCAACCGTCGTCGTGACATCACCGGTCCCAATAAAAAAATATGCATACACACTATTCCCATCGTATTTTTAGAATTGGATTATTGATGTACAACTCCTTTCATCCCCATGGATACACGAAACTAAAATGCAGTAAGAGCGGTTGAAATCCAAACGAGTCATACCCAGAAACCAAACTGAGACGATAACGATTGACACCCCGCCACCAAGAGGGACAAGGCTCCATATGTGTGCTTACATGCCGCCATATCTATAAAGGAACGGACATGACTGAGACGACGACATGCATGGCATGGCAGCCTCACTTGAGGATTTTCTTCTTCGATTTATTGGAAACCCATCAGAAAGAGATAAGATTCATACTGATTTTGAAATTTTGACAAATGGGAAATGGAAGGAGATGAAGGGACATACTTAGACCTCCATTTTCATATTCAAGTAAAATAGCGGA